GATGTGAGAAAAAGAAATTATCCTTTTAATGCTGTGTTTTCTCAACTTCTTGATATAGAGGAGAGCTTCAGATCCTGAACTCTTCAAAATAGATTCTTCAAGTGATAGCATCAACATTGATATTCACTTTGGAATTCATTTTCTTCAGCTCATAGGAAGAATAACTTCTTAGGTCCATTGAAGTCTATAAAAATGATAATATAGGTTGTAATATTGTTATTATTAAAATTCAAAACTATTTTAAAGGCGTAAGATTATTTTTGATTGTTATTATTGTATGATAAGTTCATGTCCAGGAAATTTATTGATTTGTTGTTATCTACTTCCATAGAGTAATTGATATCAGGACATAGATTGTTGAGGCATCCAATATTTTTTGTTCACTTATTATTAATTTTGTTCGATTAATAAATAAAATGGAGTCATCCACACCCATTCATGAAATAAAAATGTATCACTTGCATGCCCAAGATTTTCTAATAGGCCAAAACAAGGAGTAATACAACAAAACCCTGCTAAAACAAACTCGGGATATAGCGAGCTTTCCCTTATAACAAACTCCCATTGAAAATACCAAAGTTATAAAGAGAAATTTTTGATTTTTTAAATATATCTATACAGTAATGATAAGGCACAATTTGGATTATAAACACAAGGTAAAACATACATTATAATCTATACAGTAGTTTTCCATAAGCAACCACCTTTGTAACGCACAGAAAATTTCCCTCATAAGCCTACTAAAACAATTCTCCCATGAACGACAGTCTCTGTGAATCTTTAAATTGATCAGGTAAGTGTTTTAAACAACACTCAGTTTGAACTGGCAAGCTTCTTTTCCCATTTGTTGTTTGCTTTTATAATCTTTTAAAAGTCCATTAATGACTTCCTGTCTAAATTCTTTTTAACTAAAAATAAGGAAAATTGTTATCATTGGCTTTCTCAAGACAACCCAGCCAGCGAGCAAATTAAACAAAGATCAAATTTCCCACGACCGGCAGGCGGAAATGAGTCAGCTGTGTCATATTTTAATGGGGTGACTAGCGTCGACTGCTGCACTGAAAGGATTTAATTTTGATAGCATGTGGACTAAAGTTACTTCCCGACCCTACATCTTTGAATTGACTATCATCACCCAAAGGGTTAATTTGCTTTGTATCTCACCTTCCTTAGCTGGGGACTTCTTGCTAGGGGTCTTAGGGGACTGGAAAGAGGTGGTTGGTTAGATGTGGGGCAGTGAGGACAGCCAAGGCTACTCACAGGTGGATCCGCTGGTTTGTCCTTCAGGAGTTTGTCCGTCTCCTGGGGAGGTGCAGTATCTTCTGGGCAACAGCACCAAATGGTACAGACTTGTAGAATAGTTACTTTTACATAGAAAAAATACCCTTAATTTCTGAATAGTAAGTATGAGTGTGTGTGCAAAAATATTTTGAATAAATTTGATTTTTAATATGAGGAGAACATTAAAGAACCAACATGACAAAGTGATGTGTCTGTTTTCTTATGAAAAGATTATTACAATAAAAATAGCACTATTTTTCAGATTAAAACTTTTTAATTCAATTCAAATTAAGATTATATAAAAGGGCGTACCTGGATCTGTAAATCTTTTTTTTTTTTACAGATCCAGGTACGCCCTTTTATATAATCTTAATTGATGGATCACCTTTTGACTCAAATCAAATTAATATGTTTGTTACTTACTTTGTGAAGTTGCTCACAAATTAATTTGACACATAGTAAATACATTCTCTACCTGTTTGAAGATACTGAAAATGCTGTTATAGGGCTATTTGCTCTTGTAATTCTTTAAAAGTGAAATTAATAAAATTGCTGGACATCAAATGATCATTAGGTAGCTCATCACTGCAATATTCCAGTCTTGAGAATCCAGTATAATGCGAAGCATGATAATGCACTGAACCCCATGCAATAGAAACTCAGGAAGAATTTACAGATCAAGTCTACTGTAGCTCTGTGTGTACAGTGGAGTATTACTTGGGTTGTGCAAATAAATTCTCACATTTTAAAAATGTCTTTATTTAAAAGGCATTTTATTTTGTTTACTAATAGTGAAATGTATAGAGAAGCAAACTGACTGTCTGAAAATGCTCTTAATAGCATTACATCAAGTTTCCTTTACCTCTGAAACACCTCAGACACACCTACACCATATGCATATGACCTTCACTTTACTTTGTTAACTAAAATAAATGCCTAGGTTTCTCATTTAAGATGGACATTCCATTTTAATTTTTTTCTCTGCTTTTGAGAGAATTAAGTTATCAGAGAGAACAACAATCTCCATTTAAAAGCATTATTGTATTTATTCATGTAACTGAATTGTATTCATGTAACTGTAATTCATGTAATTGTAATTCATGTAACTATTGATGTAACTGAATGATGACATTATTGTATTTATTCATGTAACTGAATGATGACATTATTGTATTTATTCATGTAACTGAATGATGACATTATTGTATTTATTCATGTAACTGAATGATGACATTGTATTTATTCATGTAACTGAATGATGACATTATTGTATTTATTCATGTAACTGAATGATGACATTATTGTATTTATTCATGTAACTGAATGATGACATTATTGTATTTATTCATGTAACTGAATGATGACATTATTGTATTTATTCATGTAACTGAATAATGACATTATTGATGAAATATTTTCATGATAATAAATTTTAACAATTTTTCTTAAAATTGAGGAGACTTTTGTAGCAATGATGAAGGTATGAATGAACTACATAGGGTAAAAACAAACCATCATAGTGGTCGCCTTCCTCGTGGGGGAACTCTTCCAGGGGGGCAATTCTGTCTTCCTCCTCTTCTGGCTCTTCATCCTCCTCTTCTTCCTCTTCTTCTTCTTCAGGTGGCAGGAAATCTTCCTCTGGCCTGGACATACACAAGCACAATGTTCTCCTATGTCTGTACATACAAGAGCACAATGTTCTCCTATGTCTGTACATACAAGAGCACAATGTTCTCCTATGTCTGTACATACAAGAGCACAATGTTCTCCTATGTCTGTACATACAAGAGCACAATGTATTTCTCCGGCCTGGATATACACAAGCACAATGTTCTCCTCTGTCTGTACATACAAGTGCACAATGTATTTCTCCGGCCTGGATATACACAAGCACAATGTTCTCCTCTGTCTGTACATACAAGAGCACAATGTATTTCCCCGGCCTGGATATACACAAGCACAATGTTCTCCTCTGTCTGTGCATACAAGAGCACAATGTTCTCCTCTGGCCTAGACCTACACTTCTAGAACCATGCCTGAATAGGCATCCACCTACCATACATTCCAAAAGGCTTGATTTTGTTATTGACTGGCTTAATTTAGTGTGTCATAAAGCAGAAAATTCCAAAGGAACTGCTTCAAATTACTCTTAGAGACTGCTCAAGCCAATGACTGCTGAGAGAGTTTGTGATAAAAATGTTTAGGGCCTTACTCGCATTCTAATGATGTTTCTGGCCCTAGGTTGATACTTTATTAGGTAATTAGTAAAGGAAAACAAGACTGCATAAAATTTTACCTTGAGATAAGCAGGTTCTATCTCTTCTTTTGAAATGACTCAAATAACTCAGGAAGATTGTACTTTTCTCCTAATAAATTACATTCATTTTTAAAAAGATTTATTTATTTATTGCGTATGATATTGTTTTTTACAGCACAATACAACAATGTTGGCAAGTTTCTCTAGAGTGGAATGTCGAGGTGACGAATCCACTCCAGGGCCTCCTCTGTGCACAAAGTTGAAGAATTTGAAAGATTTCACATGTTTATATGTAAAATGAGGATGTCTGGTGAAGGTCAGTGTTTAAAACCAGTTCTCAAAGTTGGAACTCTGGCTATCCATGTACAGAGACTTGTTTTAATCAAATTTGACAGTTTAATAAGTTCTCAAGTATGAACTGGAATAAAGAAATTGATTTTTATTTTTATGTTCTAGAAATTTGGTAGCATAAAACCAGGACTGATTCCTACACTGAATCCATTTTCTAAATGAAAAATAGCTTCAATGGCTTCAGATTCCAAAGTCAAACGTTATGTGTGCAAGTAACTAAATGGGGTCACCTTGTGAGTGCGTTCTATATGGCTATATATATGGTGTTTCTTGATTAACCTACTGTGATAATCATGGACATGTTTACTTGTGAAAAAACATAATTTTTAATTTTCCTAGAATTTATTCTTGCTCTAAAGTCTTTATAGTTTATTTTGTAGTTATTTTAAAGGGAAAATTTGAGTTGCAGTTAATCATTATTGAAAAAAATATATATTGTGAAATCATTTTTTTGGATATTAAATATTTAAAATTATTATTTGATTTATATTATAAGAATATAAAATTGTCTCTAGAACAAAAAGAGAGTACCTGGGTATCCAGACAGGAGAAGTGACCTCTGGCTGCAGCTCCTCCTCAGCTGGACTGGGGGATGCTGAAACAGCCACTATATGCCAGAGTTTACATAGTTATACCATTTTATTTTCAACTTGTGAAATTATCGTGAGAGTGAAATATAACCTAAAAATTTTGAAAAGTTTTTTAAAAATAGCCAAACTGTGGTTATAGTGAACCAAAAGTTCAGTACATTGGGGTTCTCTATAGAGGGGTTTTATTGTATTTTATGCACACACACACACACACAAACCAGAAAGAGGAAATTCCAAGATTTGTACCCCCCCCCCTGTCATTTATTTACTACCTTGATGTAACCCCACTAAGCTAAGAAAATGTTAAAGAATAATTTGCAAAGAATAGTTTGAACAATGATAAGAATATACCTTTTGAACATTTTTTTTCTCTGGGTTATGAATTATTTTTGACTAGACGAATGGCCCGGGCAACGCCCGGGTTTTACCCGAGTGCATATATATTTTAAAAATGTTTTAATTCAAATACTATTCATTACAATTATAAATTGGCGCCATGGATGTCACTCTTGTGAAACGTCCCGTTCCAAACTGTGTGTTTTTAAAATGTTTTAATTAAAATACTATTCGTTACAATTATAATTTGATTGTATAAGAAACATATTTTCATTTAAGTATTGTACTTTATATAAAAAAGATTAAATAATTGTGCAAAACGGTATATACGATATATAAACATCAAAAAACTTAAAACTCTTCCGATGTACAACTTATGAATAAACGTATCATTAAATGGAAGATAGGTATCTTTTACCTATCTTCCATTTAATGATACGTTTAATCAAAAGAAATAATGAGCCTATCGTTCAAATATAAAATTCGAATAAATATAAATGAGATACTAAAAATTAAATACCTATTTAATGAATATCCTATTTTATTCTTATATTAAAATATTTATTCTTTTATTCTTAACTTTATGAACGGAAAAATATGTCCAGGGTAGCCTAGTGGTCATGGCATCTGCCCGGTAAGCGGAAGGTCGTGGGTTCGATTCCCATCCCTTGACACTTTTTTTTATTTTATCCATTCTGACCAAAATATATCCGTGAACTTAACACAGTGAACTTCACACAGACAGAATAAGGCAATTATATAAGTAGATATAAGTATAATAATAATAATAATAATAATAATAATTATCATTAGATAATGATAATGATCATAATGATGATGCGCGCGTTGATGACCAAAATCTATCCGTGAACTTCACACAGTGAACTTCACACAGACAGAATAAGGCAATTATATAAGTAGATTAGCTACAGATATTTTAAGGTGAATCAAACTGAAAAGTGGATTAAGTGCTTTCCTTGACCAGCAAGTCACTAAAATGTCAGAAGAGTTTCAGAAAGTTGAAGTAAATTTTTTTCATTTAAAACGCGGAACCCAGAAGAGGCCGACTTCCTACAGGCGGCGAAATTCCTCGACGAGGCGGACAAATGGAACAAGGGACGGAAGGAAGCAGGTACAACGACGAGTTGGGAAACAACTACGAGGACGGCGGAAGAATGGGAACAAAAACGAGGACAAAATCCAAGGACCGAAACGCCCACGGAGAAAGCAAGAAGATTTATGCTGCCGGACGTGACGCCAAGATGTTTCACCTGTTACCAGACGGGGCACAAACACTGGGATTGCCCGAAAAGGAGGCCACGTGGTAAGTACAATTTTACCTCTAATCCTGTGGTTGAAGTTTTAAACAGTGTAGAGAGCGTACCACGTGTATTTTCCGAGGTTACTGGTAACACCAATCACATAATTTTCAAGGTAAAAGGACAACCGGGGGTTAACGAGAGACAGACAGTAAATAAGGTACCACTAGAAAAATCCACTTTAGAAATAGGGGGTACAACAATGGAAAAATTCCGTTGGACAGGTATGACTAATTTCTGCTTAATCATGCATATCAATGAGACACATGTAGGCAAACTGATTTTCGATTCAGGGGCAAATGTTAGCTGCATAGACGAAGGAATAGCCAACGCACTAGGATGTGCTAGAATGCCTTCAAAATTACTTATACGGGGAATAAGTGGGTCAGTAGTCTCGAACACGTGCACATACTTGGAGGTCAACATTGATGGTTTCGACATATGTGGCAGGTTCACCATAATTCCAGGAAACGGGGAAAAGATTATTTTCGGCGTCGATATTCTAACAAACTATCATTGCAAAATTATGTTTAGAGACGAATCGGTAGAATTGTATAGGCCAAAAATAGGCACGGACGACCACGTGGCAGAACTAAACGAAGAACGGGAGCTCGAGAGGTTAGGCGCAATTACGAACGATCGGAAAAACCCCAAACAAAAGTACTGCATACCAGATGACCTTGAAATTGCACCACGTTGTAAAACGAAGGTTAAGTTAAAAGGGCCAACAGTAAGGGCGGGCATTTTAGAACCCCACCCCGACTGCGTAAGAAGAACGGGGCTACTAATACCATCAGTACACGTTTCCGAAACGGTATCCGAGATATTCATTGATGTCATTAATACTAGGAACGAGCCGGTGCGGTTGGTAGCAAACTCGTGCGTGTTACGATCCGGCGGGGAAATAGCGAATGTTTCTTTCCTAAGTGAACAGGGGGATACAGTATGACGGCCACGTGCAAATACGAACCACATAAGTTCGATATAAACCCGGAGCTGTCGGACGGCGAAAAAATCGACGTACTGGACGTATTGTACAGGTATCGGGAACTTTTCTCAGAAGAGTGGAATAAGGCGGCAGATATCGAACCGTACCACATTAAACTTAAATCAAACACGGAACCAATTCGACAAAAAGCCTATCGCCGCAGTCCTAAGGAACGTGACATTATAGAGCAGGGGTCTCCAAACTACGGCCCGAGGGCCACATCCGGCCCGCAGACAGATTTTGTCCGGCCCGCGGAGACATACTTGAAAACTCCTTTTAGAGAACAAATATTTTTTATAGCAAATAAAATGTTTGTGATAAGTTGGATAAAGAAACACAGAATGGTAATGAGTAAAGACATGTATAATTTATGCAGTAAATTTAACTTCAGCATATAATAACTAACAAATTATTGAAATGAATCCAACTTACATTTTATACATTGTAAGTAATGAACAACACATACCTTATAACATGACATATGAAATGCTAATGAGATGTATGTAATTGAGATTTTCCACCGACAATAGTTTGTAGTTGTGGACTAATTTTACTTGTACCAATTATTAAAAGAGATTTAAGATGCTCGTCAGTTAATTTAGATCTGTATACATTTTTTGTGTACTTCATTTTGGAGAAGGTTTTCTCACACAAATAAGTAGTACCAAAAACGGAAAACAGCCCACGAGCAAATTTATGCAAATTATCAAATTGTGTCAGTGGAAGACTCTTATAAAATTCCAACAAAGATGAGTTTTCATATTTGTTCTTAATTATATCACTGCACTGAAGATCAATCATTTCCATTTGAAGTTCCGGGGCTAGGGTTTCAATGTCAGCATCAAAAGGATTCTGAAAAATCTTAATTTGATTCGCAATGGCATCAAAGTCCGAGAAACGAGTATCAAAATTTATCTTCAAAGCACTCAAAGTTTCGATTGCAAAATCGATAGGAAACTCAGTCTCAGTAGTGTGGCTATATATTTCACATGTTTTAAAATGTGAAAAACATTTACTTCGTAGTTGTGATTGAAACTGTATCAATTTCATCCGGAATGACTTGATATTAGTGTATAAATCAGGAAGATGCTGGTTTTCTCCTTGCAATCTCAAATTCAGTTCGTTCACATGTTTTGTCAAATCAACATAGAATGCTAACTTCCATAGCCATGCGTTGTTTTGTAATTCAGTAAGAGGGCGGTGCTTTTCATTCAAAAAAATTTCGATCACTGCTCGAAGTTCAAAAAAGCGCTGAAGGACTTTCCCACAACTAAGCCAGCGTACGGCAGTATGATAAGGTAAGTCTGTTTCTCCAATCTCTGCAATAAATTGTCGGAATTGTCGGTGATTCAGCCCAAAAGATCTGATGAAATTAACAGTTGATATGACTGGTTTCAGAACGTCAGACATATCCAAACATTTTCCGTACAAAGACTGTTGATGAATGATACAATGTAAGACTAATGGTTTTGAGCCGCCGTCATTTTCTACAGCCTTTGACACAAGAGCGACCACTCCTTTATCTTTCCCACTCATGTTTTTGCCTCCATCAGTTGTAATACATTTCAAGTTTTTCCATCGAAGGTTCTTTTTATTAATGGCCATTTCAACTCCTTTAAAAATATCGGTACCAGTAGTTGTGCCATGAATACTATACATATCAAGAAGTTCTTCGTGCACTTCATAGCTTTTATCTACTCCTCTAATATAAATCAACACCTGAGCAGTATCTGACACATCCGTTGACTCATCCAAGGCCAAAGAAAACCACTCAACATGTCCATTTTTGTCGAACAGTTGAGAGGATATATTTTCAGCGATGTTTTCTACCCTTCGAGCCACAGTGTTTGCTGACATACTGACAGTTTTTAATAAATTTACCTTTTCAGGGCACATTTCTTAGACTACTGCAATTATGCATTCCTTGATCATTTCTCCATCGGTGAATGGTTTTCCACGTTTTGCAATTTCAAGAGCCACACGAAAGCTGGCACGAGTTGGCGCCTCTTGTTCAGTTTTGACTTTTGTAAATAAAGATTGCTGCGATTTCAATCCGCACTTCAAAGCTTCGAATTTTTCTGTCCGCACAATTCCTGTATATTTTGAGTAATTTTGAGAATGTTTTGTTTCATAATGACGTTTCATGTTATATTCTTTGAGAACGGCTATGCTTTCATTGCAAATCAAACATAGCGCCTTGTTACTGGACTCAATTACGAAATACTGAATGTTCCACTGATCTTTGAATTTTCTGCATTCACTATCAATTTTTCGCTTCTTTTCCATTCTGCTAAATCACACACAAAAGCAACAATTAATAATAACATTTAATAACAAATAAACATAACAATTAATACAGGAAAATTAATAATATGCAGTGTTGCCATCTTGGCCCTCGGAACTTACTGGAGTAATCAGTATGGCCCTAAGGCTGGAAAGTTTGGAGACCCCTGTTATAGAGGAACAGGTTAAAGAAATGTGTGAAAAAGGAGTTATTAGGAAATCAACATCTCCATGGGCGAGCCCGGTCGTTTTGGTTAAAAAATCAGACGGATCCTATAGGTTTTGTGTGGACTATAGAAAAGTTAACAACGTAACCGAAAAATTTTCATATCCATTACCGGATATCACCGACTGCCTGGACCGTTTAGCGGGAATGAAGTGTTTCTCTCACACGGATTTTGTTAGCGGTTATTGGCAGTGCCCACTGGACGAAACAAGCAAACCAATTACAGCGTTCACGACGGGTAATGGGTTGTACGAGTTTCAAGTGTTACCCTTTGGTTTAACCGGGGCACCTGGTCATTTCGAAAGAATCATGGATACACTGTTAGCTGAATTGAAATGGTCCGAGTGTATGGTTTATCTAGATGACGTCATCGTGTACGGAAGAGACATACGTGAACACAACGAGCAGTTAACAAATGTTCTAGAATGTTTCCGCGGGGCAGGCTTATCCCTTAAGCCATCAAAATGTAGATTCGCCTACCAAAAGTTACCAATTTTGGGACACGTGGTATCGGAAAACGGCGTAGAACCGGCTACTGATAAGATCGAGGCGGTTATGGAATTTCCGATTCCGAAAAATGTCAAGCAGGTTCGTTCGTTTCTGGGACTTTGCGGCTATTATCGCCGTTTCATAAAAAACTTTTCAAAGATAAGCAAACCGCTGACGTGTTTAACGGAAAAAGATAAGAGATTCGTGATAGGTCCGGCCGAAATAGAAGCTTTCGAAACCTTAAAAAAAAAATTGACTGAGGAGCCAATTCTAGCACACTTCAACCCAGACGCTAGAATAGAAATACACACGGACGCATCAATCGTGGGATTAGGCGCGGTGCTAATGCAACTGGACAATGACGGGTTTTTGCACCCGATCCACTACTTGTCGAGAACAACATCGAAACACGAGAGTAAATATGGTATCTCAGAACTAGAGTGTTTAGCAATAGTCTGGGCTCTACAAAAGTTACGGCCGTACATCTTCGGGAGAGAATTCAAAGTCGTAACCGACCATAGCGCGTTAACGTGGCTAGCTAACGTACGTGACCCGTGCTCAAGACTTACTAGATGGGGGTTAAAACTCATGGAGCACGACTTTGAAATAGTCCACAGCGCAGGGAGGAAGAACGTTGCACCGGACGCACTCTCACGCAACCCGTTCCACAAAAACGATACGAACGTCGAAGACAACTTCAACGATTTAATGGCATGCACAGTACGGATCGACGAAAACGGACAAAAGGAAGACACGTTTTGCCGCGATATTACCGGGAAACTACCAGATGCTAAAACACGGGACGAATATAAAAAAATAAACGGGATCCTTTATAAAAAGAACCATGCAACACAAGGTAACCAATGGTTGGTCGTAGCACCAAAGCAAAGCGTATCCGAAATAATGAAAACAGCGCACGATATACCCGAGGCAGGACACATGGGGGTAGCGAAGACGGTCCACCGTATTAAGCAACGTTTCTACTGGAAAGGTCTGGAAGAAGACGTGCGGAAATACGTTCGGTCGTGCAAAGTGTGCCAGGCCTTCAAACCACAGAGGTTCAAACCCGCAGCCCCGCTAGAACCGTTACCACCGGCAACAGACATCTGGGAACGAGTGGGAATAGACCACCAAGGTCCTTTCAAAAAATCGGTAGAGGGCTACGAACACATCCTAACGATCGTAGACCATTTTAGCAAATACGCACTCGCAACCCCGGTAAAAGACACAAAGGCGGAAACCACATGCAACGCACTCTTAGACAATCTGCTCTACGTTTTTGGTACTCCGAAATGCATAATATTCGATCAAGGCAAATCTTTCGATTCGAGTACTTTTAGAGACTTTACACGGTTGTACGGTATTAAACATATTATGGCTTCCGTGGCACACCCGCAAACAAATGGCTTATGCGAAAAACTCAATGGCGTCATAAAAAAACGGCATCAGAGTTTATCTCGAGGACGATCACGCCGAATGGCCGAGATTCGTAAAAACGGCGACTTTTGCGTATAACTCGTCCATTCAGTCGTCGACACAGGTGACACCGCATAAGTTGATATTTGGCGTAGAACCGAGGACGTCCCTAGACGTAGGACTACCAACCGTCGACGAGCCTGTAAAAACTTACGACGAATACGTGACCAACCGCATTTTAGAAAACGAGAGATTAAAGAAAATTGCCGACGAAAACTACCGAGACCGGACAATGATGACGAAGTGTCAGTATGACCTTGCGAACCGTGAACGCTTCCGGAAGTTTGAAGTGGGCGACCTGGTACTACTGGAGTCGTCTCGCAGGAAACCAGGGAAAACGGAGAAATTTCTGCCGAAATACGTAGGACCGTACGTAATAACGGATAGAATCAAGGAAACGACATATAGGTTACGACCACAGGACGGACGCAACGAAAATAGTAGGTGCCAGAGCACGTTAGCACACGTGTCGAGACTTAAGGAATTTTTAGAGAGATAACGGCGACTCGAGGGACCGAGTCTAAGATAAGAGGGGGGGTGGTGTTGTGTGTCAACAAGCAACCGACCGGAAATACACGTGACGTTGCAAAATTAATTTAAAATTTGTTTGTTTTTTTTTTATTATTATTTATTTATTCATTTATCAGAGAAACAGCACCACAGAGATAACAGGTACAAGTTGTATTTGACCACGGACCACCGTTTTCGCGGAATGCTTTAATAACACAACGTGCCAGTTATCGTTTGACCTTCGTGCTATTTATTACTTTTTTTTTTCTTTTTTTCCTTGCCCGGCGAACGAAAGATGTCCTGTCACAGATATAACCCTCCCAACGGCTACACCGATGAGAATCGGACCGCAACAACCCTCCGGGACCGGACCACAAACCCTGCCCTGGAACGGGCCCTGGTGACCATAGCCCACCAGGACAATGTACTGCAGCCTCTCAATAAAATGAGCTTTACATCCCCACTTCAGCCTCATCAATATTTACAACAATAATTTTATGTGATTTCAGGCTATATTAAAAATGCTTTCAAAACAGGAAATCCGCATAATTTTTCTTCATGAGTTCAAACTCGGCCACAACGCTGCGGAAACAACTCGAAATGTCATCAGCACATGGGGCAAGGGTACTACTTATGAACGCACCACCCGCAGGTGGTTTGAAAAATTTCTCAACGGCGATACCACCATTGGAGATGAAGAGGGCCGTGGACATCCGTCCGTGGTTGACAACAACCAATTAAAGGCAATAATCGAGGCAGATACATGCAAAACTACACGAGAAGTTGCCGAAGAACTCAACGTTGATCAGTCGACAATTGTTCGTCATCTGACACAAATTGGAAAGGTGAAAAAGCTTGATAAATGGGTGCTACACCTTCGGCATTTTGAAGGGTCGTCAAGCGCTACTTCTGCGCAACAAGAACAAGCCATTTCTCAACCGTATTGTCACCTGTAACAAGAAATGGATCCTCTACAACAACTGGTGATGTTCTGCGCAATGGTTGGACCGCGATGCAGCTCCGAAGCACTTGCCGAAGCCCAAACCGCACCAAAAGAAAGTCATGGTGACTGTTTGGTGGTCTATGGCCGGTTTGATCCACCACAGCTTCCTTAATCCAAGCGAAACCATCACTGGGGTGATGTATTTCAGCAAATCGATGAAATGCACCAAAAACTTTGCCGTATCTGCCCGAGATTGGTCAACAGAAAAGGGCCTATTCTTCTCCACGACAACGCCCGACCACACATCTCAATGATCACACGACAAAAGTTGAATGAGTTGGGCTATGAAACTCTTGATCACCCACCATACTCGCCCGACCTCTCGCCTACCGACTACCACTTTTACAAGCACCTCGCCAACTTCCTGGGTGGGAAATGCTTTAAAAACCAAGGTGATGACAAAACAGCCTTCAATGAATTCATTGCCTCCTGAACTCCAGATTTTTATAAAACTGGAATATACCAGCTTGTTTCTCATTGGCAAAGATGTATCGATGCCAATGGTTTTTATTTTGATTAATAAAGGTTTGCTTGTAACGAGTTATTGCTTTTTGAAGTTATCACTACAAATTGGCCATTATTTTTGCATCAACCTAAATACATGTAGGATATTGTTCATTAGCAATGTTTGAGGGTAACTCAAGTGCAGAAAAAATATATAAACCTGTTCAAAAACAGTAAGTCTGTTCATAAACAGAATTCAGTACTTTTGTCTATTGAGGGTAAAAATGCTGTTACAGAAACGTCACACACTATTTATTTATTTGGATTTGGTCTTATTACCTTGTAGCTCTAATCTATAATCCAAATTGTACATTATCAGCGGAGATTTTATAATAATTTTATTAGAGCCGAGTTTAGAAGAATGCTTTAGAAAGTAATGACAATTATGATTAGCAATGTTGACCAAAGGGTAAAATATTCAGATATAAGAAAATTGCGATAAACTTTTATAAAAAATATCTAAAACCTTATGCAATAATATATTAGATATTTTTTATAAAAGGGGAAAATAATAATTGATTCTAGCCCAAGTCCAACTGCTTCACTAAGCTCAGTTAACCAACCACAACTTTAAATGTGCAAGCACAAAGTACTGTACACATTTGGCTAAAAGCATATTTAACACTTGAGTGGATGGAAAATTTTCTGAGAGGAAATTGAGCTAAAAAATGAAAGTTTATTCATGCATAAAAATAGATAGAAAAACTGTGCATCATCTGTTGACCAACTCTGCTGACTCAGGTCAGTGCCAGACCTGGACTGGTGGATTACTGGTGTTGTTACCAACATGAGACTGCTAAAATAAAGAGACTGGAAGCATACCATTTTTGTGATTTTTTTTTTTTTATGGAAAAAGTACCTTTCTTTTTTTTATTAGGTAACAGTGTTAATGACAAAATTTATTAAACCTCTATATGTGATGTTATTTATAATTTCCAGTTAACCACTCTAATTCAACAGATTAAAATCAACATACACTTGCAATGAAAACTATTATAGACACATATGGTTCTTTTAAAAATTAAACAATTTCTACTGCCCTTACTGCAATGGAAAAATTAATGGGAGGGCCTGGCTCATCAGTGGTGAACCCTTCCAGCGGTTTCGCCAGTCCATACCGCTGTTATATTGCATTTTTCGATCTTCCTTTTATAGTGATACTGATGCTAGACTCTGGAGGGGTTCACCACTGATGAGCCAGGCCCTCCCATTACCTTTTCCATTGCAGTAAGGGCAGTAGAAATTGTTTAATTTTTAAAAGAATCATACGCGTCTATAATAGTTTCAAATTTTCATAACAGATGACACGCTAATGCATCATAATACACTTACTATATAATTCAACTTTTTTTAAAATTTCAAAGCTATTCTAATTTCTATCTTTAAATAACTATATATATAGAGAGAGAGATAGTGAATTTAAATGTGCAATTTGTAGGGAATTGGTCAAGACCTTGGAAATTGGTTAAATTAAGGTTGAATTAGATAGGTAAAAATATGCTTAAAGGAACATTTGAAGTATTCTTAAAAACAAAATTGAAGAACTCACCTAATGAATCAAAGTCCCGAAGGTCAAGATCTCTTAATGATGACTTTTCTGGAGTGGGTGGAGGAGAAACTTTCTTTGCTGTCATCTTCTGCTCAATCTCAGAGATCTGCTTGTTGATGAGGAGGAGGGTAGAGTCCAGCTGTGGCTCTGGGTCCTCCGAGTCTTGGCCACTAGAGAGGCCATCCTCCAGCACTGGCATGCTGGGTCGCAGTCGGCCTGGGTGGAGAGGCAGCAGGCTGGCCGGTTCTTCGTTGTTCTCTCCGTCTGTGGTGGCTGGGGATATGGTGAGCTGCTGAGCCGCCACAGCCAGGTTTGAGCCAGTACTGGGGGAGGTAGTGCTGCTGCTGGATTCTGGGGGATGTGCAGAATGGTAGGCCAGCCGGGTACCCACATAGGAGTTGCCCAGTGGCTTCATTGGCTTTGAGGGACCTTTTATATCTGTCTGGATGCTGATATCATGCTGCTTGCCATTTTGCTTTTTAGACTTGTGACTCCTTCGAAAGAATCGGTTATTTGAAGTAAAAGCCTGGGATTTGTCACCAGAGGTGAGGCCAGGAGAAGAATGCTTGCTGAGGTGAGGCTCGCTTTGTGAGCTCTCTATCTTATCTCGAATACTGATAGATCTAGGGCCGTATCTCCTTGGGGAGCCCTCATACTCTGCAATTGGCAGGGTGCCAATTATTCTGGTAATACCTTGGTCCCATTGGGAGAGCTCAGAGTCTGATTCATCTTCCAAAGCTGAAGGGTAAGAACGAACTTTCCTTGCACGTCGATGTTTGTACTTTTCTCTTGAATAAGGCTCAAAGGCAGAAGAGGGTTTATCACAATTTGGAAGTTCACCCTTGCTCCATGAAAGGGCATTTGTGCTGGAATCTTTTACTGTGATGGCCCCTTCAGAATCAGATGACCTTGTGGTCTTAGTATCCTCTGGGCAGTTCAAAAGGTCTTGCCTGGCTTCCAAAGGCGGCGGTGCCTTAAGTAGCTCTCCAATATCATCATAGATCACAGGTGCATTGTGAAGAGGTGCTTCATATACCAAATGACCTGAAGGAAAGGTGTGCTCCTGAGGCTCTACACTCACAGGCTTGAAGCCTTCACCATCAGGACTCCTCAGCATGTAAAGGTTGTTGTAAGCTTCTGTGAGAAGCTTGATTTCAGCTTGAGCAGCCAACACCCTCTCAGGATCAGAATCCAGGCTAGTCCGGGAGCTAGTAGAGAAAGGTGGGAGTTCATCAAGGTCCAAAGCTGGAGAATCCTTAGTGGCATGCCCATTCTTCATGGTCTTTAGGAAAAGGTTGCTTTTATCACGGGGAGAAGATAGCCCAAGGGAAGACTCATTCATTGTGTGGGAAGTAGAAAAATAGGATCTTAAATGGTTAACCTTTCATAAGTATAAGAGAGAGGCCTTCAAAAAGGAGAAAAAATCTTTATAAAATCTCCAGATATTAAGAAAATAAAGGTTCCGCCTCATTTTGATGAAGAGAACCTGCAACACCCAACAACCAGTTGATTAGAACATTCTGCAGAGTTTAAACCATAAAATATAAAAGTAGCAGGATCAAATCCAGAGATTATTCCCAATATATGTAAAAAATGTTTTGGCAGCTAGAGAGGTGACTGCCGCTGTCTTTTGTGCTAAATTTTTACTGTAAATATCAACCCTTTGGGTATGGCAGGTGAAAATAGTCGCTTTGAGTCTGTAGGGTCAGGAAGCAACTTAAGCCCACATGTGATAAAAATTAAATCCTTTCAGGGCAGCAAATAAACAAGAAAAATAAGCCAGCAGTAGTGGGAGCATGTGTCAAGGAAGTGATGTTTTCCATGTACATTAATGAGATCTCTCCACCTATTGATAGTTAGGCAAGAAGATACAGGACAAGATCCTGATGGATGCGAATTCACGTTGGCCATTGGTGATTTTATATATTATTTTAAAAATTGAGGACACGAATTTGCATTCTTCGAGCTTGATGCATTATCGACAAGGAAGCGAATTCGCATCCATTGGGTCATTGGTGTTTAAAAAATTGAAAACAGATTGGGTTCAAGCATGCCCAATGGTTTGGAGAAAAAATGAAATAAAAAGTGAAGAAAGAAAGACGATGAGTGGAATATAGGAAAAAGTCAACAGAAGCTAGAATTGACATAAAAGGTTTCATAATTTTACAGAATTTATCAAATTAAACTAATTTTAACTCTACCCATAGCTTAGGCCACTTTCTCCACACTTCTTACCATCTAAGTGGCAGCTTAAATGTTTTGAAGTTGGAGCAAATGAATGAGAGACAGCACCTTTATGTAAAAGATATTGAATAAATGTTTTAAAAAGTTCCCAATTTTATTAGTTTTTTTTTTTTTTTTGCAATTAATGAAATTTGGAAACTGGAGTAAATGCAGTTTGAAAAAATGCATTTAAATTTATCAAATAAATTAGAATAAACAAAATGCAAGCATTTGATTAAGGATGATATAAATATACCTAGTTATTTAAATAGTTAAAAGCCTACCTAAACATTTATATGAATACATGTTTTAGTTTTGGATTATTTTGGTAGAACGTTGAAAAAATTTAACAAAGTGAAATTACAAAAGAGCCTCACTTGGTCACCACTAGGAAATTTGACATGCAATTATATATATATATATATTTTTAAAGATGCTAACCAAAGAGAAAGACAGCACTATGTTCCAGTAAAGATTTGACTAAGGCTGTCAATTTTTGACAATAGATATGACATATTCATTTTACCAATTTTTAGCCAATTTTTTTAATTTTTATTTGATACAGTTCATTGACAGTACGAAAATATTTCAATAAAAATGTATA